AAGTTTGAAGGTCCATAGTCCAAATATTTGATGAGTTTCTTTAGCCCATTTATACCAACAAATTTTAAAAATTCCCTGTATTTAGATATTCGCCATATCGATCGCCACGCTGTTTGGCAAGAAATCGACATGTCAACTTGTCCCGGCCCGGAAGTGTCCTGTTTACTTGTTACACGGGATATTAATAAGTTAATGTGAAAATATGAAGATAAAAGTATCTTTTAAAAAATAAAACCTCTCAAACCTCGATTTGAAATGCTTTTAAAAACGCTAATCCGTTCGGGACCTACAGATTCGAGGGGTGCTATGTAAGCTTGCGCAAGGCAAAGTTTGAAGACCCATATCTTCGCAATCACGCAATTAATCAAAAATCGCAACGAGGAAGTTGAGGAGAATTCTTTTAGGAACAACATATATGAATTTCATGGCAAAAAAAACCAACAAAAAACCGCTTGCAGCGAAGCTCTGAAGTAACCCCATACGTTTGTTTCCAAATTTCATGTGATGAAGCGTTTTACGCATTCTGATTGGCTTAGGGCAAAAATGTAAACAAAAGCGCTGATTGGTCGAGAACGAAATTCCCCCTTGTTGGTCTTGTTCACATGTCTGGCACAACGGTGCAAATTTGTGTTCAATGCAATATTCAGTGCAATGAGAACTCTACCAGATCTTACGAGAATCTATCTGTATCAAAACTTTATCAAAACTGCTATAAACACTGCTATAACTGTGAAACTATTGTCATCTAAAGTGACATTTAATATTGAATACTTGCGAAAAGCTGAAAATGACTCGTGAAAAACAACTTGAACTGATCTTGGGAATATAAAGTCAAAGGTCAATCAGACTTGTTATTGTGTAGTCTAGGTAATGTGAAACGAATGCGAAAGCGGATGCGGAACGGAGCGGATGCGGAACCGATATGGGGATAAAATGCGGAACGGATATGGGGATAAAATGCGATTTTTTTCGCCTCATTTTTACGTTTCAGTGTTTCTGATTTATGTTTTTTTGTGAGACAATTTTTTTGTGAGACAATTTTTTCACTGAGACAATAGTCAAATGTGCAATATGGGCGCTGAATTAAAGATGATGGTAATAATTATAGTTTTAAATAAGTTTAGTATATTAGTAGCCTCGTGGGGATACTTTCAGCGACAGCTCCCAATGCAAATGTAGGTTTAGAATACGCAAAATTTGTTTGTTGGTGAAACAATTTAAATTTCGAGTTGTCGCGTGTAGCATCACAATAAATAAATAAATTGTATCAGTTCCACGAGGCAGGACGTTTCTGATGTGTTAGGCTTATTTCAAACGTCGCGCTACTCATGTGCCAAACGCATTAAAAACCGAATAGATAATGAGATGAAATGCCTATGCTAACTGTTTATTTCGCCATTGTAAGCCATCAGCTTTACAAAACAGAAAGTCCTCATGCCCAAATAAGAGCTCTTGCAATTCAACATTTAATAAACGTTTCGAAGGGAGTGACAAGGAATTGTTTATCTCGTAAAAACCTTGTTCTAATCCACATTTTTGAGTAACGCGCCTGCTCTAGCCTATGCCTGCTCTTACTGTTCTAGGTTGTCGGCGACCCTATGCAGTTCTTGTCGTGTTTTTTTTTTCAATTTGAAACTTTACACTATCCTTGGATCCCTAGTTTTCAAATGTATAAACGTTTCAGGGCGTAAATATTGACAAAATCTTTGAGATTTACGCAATAATTAAATTGATGTTATGCATTACCGGCATTCAATTATGAATATACCGCCTAAATAATATCGGCACTTTATACAGCGACTGTATAAGGTGCTACACCACATAATTATAGATGGCTGCACTTAAACACTCAGTACACTGAAACCAAAGAAGCTTGTAATACTCTGTACATTGCTGAAGGCACACATACAGCACGTGCGCGTTTGGCTCTCTAGATATAGAAATGTTTTTAGGATGCAGAAGGACATGTTGGAAATGACGGAGTGCGGAGTATGGAATGCGGAGTAATACGGAGTCTGTTAAAACATAGTTTATTTTCCTATTTCGATTTTAATTTTCCTATTCGATTTTAATGAGATTCTGTCAAAAATTTGTTTATTTTGTCCAAAGATTCTACTTTAATAAGACTCCATGTTTTCCACTTTGTGCCCCCATACACTTGCAGTGTCTTAAACTGTCTTTCTCAATTTGAGACTTTGCACTATCCTTGGATCCCTAGTTTTATATATTTTGATATATCTCTATTTTCAAATTATATTAGTTTTAGTAACAGGTAGTTCGTTGCTATGACATAGCTACGTGCACGAATTTCACTCCAGAATGACCTATCGCCTCGTATAGTTGGGAAAGAAGAATGGTAACCCCAATTTTTTTTTTCGTGCACAATTTACTTGGAAGAAAAACAAACAATTAGCAAAAAATAAAAAAATTCTGTAATGCCATTTTTTTTAAAAAATGCGAAATTGTCGTACTCTTCGGTAAAATGTTTTTGCCATTACAGATTTCTCTATTTTTTGTATAATGAAAGCTTTTTTTGCGGTGCAATACAGCATGCAAAATTTGAACATAGGTCACCAGACAAAATAGAGAAGTATAGCGCATTGTTTTTCTAAAATGGAAAATTCTGATGACGTCAGCAATTGACATAAAACGCTATAGAACACGCGCAATGGCGTGATATGGCGCGAGCAACTGCTCACGTCAGGTCATTTTGGAAGTTCTTTCATTTTGTTAATCAGTTTCCGCGACCTGCGCGTAAAAATGGTTACCCGGTTTTGAGTTCGCGATTCTTGAGCAGGGTTTTTGTGATAATTATATCGAGCCACTTTAAATTCAAGACTTTAGTTCAACGTCTTGTCAGCGGTTGCAAAGATGAACTATTATGTACAATAAAAGAATATGTGAAAGCTGAAGAAGAAAAAATGCGAATAAATTTCATCCCGAGATGAATTTCACCCCGTATTTACATAAGATTCTGTACTGACGTACTTATCCAAATGGTAAATTGGTATTTCTTTGTTTTAGTTTGGTATAAGGGTTGTAATGGATTCGTGGACCGAAGCACTCCTTTCACCTGAACGACACTGGACGCCTGAGGAAATACTGGACAAACTAGAGAATTATATGGGGTTTTTATCTTTACTTAAAAATTACTTTTTCGATGGCTAGGAAGACTATAGTATTATACAAGCCAAATTATATTGCGTCCCAAGCTGTAGAAAAATATCTCAAATTGAGCAGGAAACATTGTAAAAAGATAAAGAAATTTCATATAAACAAGACGCTCTATGGAGCGTTAACTCGCTGGGGCTATACAAATAAAAACTAAATTTTGTCATCATATTTTCCTTTGCTCATAATTTGGTAACCGCTACAGAAAAACAGAACAATTTACAGAAAACAAGACGCCAGCTCAGGCGTTCATACCGGCCTCAGTTGGCCAAATAACCTCTCATGTGAGTTTTGTTTCAACTTCGGTCCCACGGTCTTTCCTAGAACGACGCAAAGCGGTTGGTTTTGTCAGGGCGCTGTAAAACACGGGCGGTGAAACGGCTATGGCGCCCCTGATCTATGTGTGATGCAGGTCCCCCCGCATATTT